AACTAAACCAGTTAAGGATAATTGATGGGTCTCAATCCCTTGGTGAGATGGGGACTTTCACTGCATGTGATGACAGGCTCTGGCACATTGAGCAGACGAGACCAATAGTGACTCCAATGGTTAAGCGGGTGGTTTATGCAAGTGCCGTAGAGGGAACTGAGGGGCTCATCAACCTGGGAAGGGAGGCCAAGAAGCAGAAGAAAAACTCTGATCCTAAACCTCTGCAGACTTGCATGAATATCTTCAGGAAAAGAAGAGGCTAAGCAGTAAACCCTACACGAATCGGGAGTGACGTCCTTAAGACGATTGTGTTGGAGTGTTGTGGGTATCAAGGAGTTAACACTATGCTAAGTAGAAATGCTGACTCAGTTCCATGTGGTGAGTCAGCATCCCAAGAGATGGTGCGCTGCCTAATTGGTCTATAGCCAGCTTGTATACAGAGGTATGCTTGACTTCTCCACAATGGCTTCTCCCCCGTATGTAGGAAGGCTGATTTATGGTACTTTATGATGCTGCAGGACTGCAGCTGGAATAAAGCCCTCCTTGCAACACAGTTGGACTCCTGAGCGCTTTATATGGAGCTTCTATCGGTCCAAATACATTGCAAGATGTTGGATGGAGTCCTTGTATGCCTCCTTCCGGTAACTCCTGGGGCCAAGCTGGGGCCAAAAATATTGCTCTGCTTCCCTTTGGACCATATCAAGAAGGTTGAGAAGGTTGAGATAGGTCTGCTCCCCCCCGGGAATCGAGGAGGATTTTCACAAGATCGGCAAAAGGTCCACCTAGACGTCTGGCAAGGCTGCCGTTTCTTGTGAGTAGAACCAGAACTTACAGGGTTAAACAGTTCTGTGTGACCGTCTCACATCTTGAGGCCTGGTTTTGTTCACATACGGGAATCTTTCTTTGCGTGTTAGTTACTTTTGCTTTTAGCTGTTGAGCCGGAGAAAATGTCCGCCTGATCTCCGGGGTGATTTATGATGGTTTTTCTGTACATAATAAAGCCTTTTTAGATTAAGCAAGAAGCCTGTGTACAGACTGGGATTTATCACCCACACAAGGCAAAACCGCTGCTCCATTACATTCCGAAGATTTCTATGGTGGGAAACATCAGGAAAGCTCAAAATCTGCTTCTTTTGGGGAGAATTTGTATTTTTAGAAAGCTCAACAACTCTGTCCGGATTTTTGCATTTTTAAATGGGGCCACCCTGCTGGAGAAGATGGCCTTGTCGTGTAGGCAGCCCAGGACATCCACACACACTGCCCTGTATTCTGCGGGGGTCACGTCTGTGCTTCTAACACCCCTGTTTGACTTCAACCTCATGGAGACTCTACATTGTGTCTCGAGGCAGATGGATGTCAACAAAAGGGGGTGGAAGGACAGAATCTGACTTTTGAGAGAGGAGGTGCAGTCAGAGATGCTTCCACCAGAAGAGAGCGTGAGGGGGGAAACCATCGTTAGATGACATTTAGGATCCCTGCCTCCATTTCTCAGCCTGAATCGTAACTCAGAATCTCGATTCTGAACTCAGTTCAGAACCTTCAGATCTATCCTCTGGTTGGCCGTCTTCTGGAATATAAACCAGACCCCTTTGAGGGTATCATCAAAACCTTCATTTACTGTGGGCACCTTGGATTTGGAGTCTAGGTATCAATCATAATCCCTGAAAACGTGTCTCAGTGACCCTTGGTATCTATACCCACCCGGACCTCCCAAGTGAGTCTGAGCTCCTAGAGGAACCATCTATGGTGAGGTGCGACACCTCTGGCACTCCAGATGTGGTTGGACTCAAAGTGCCATCAGCCCAAGCAAGGATGGCCAACGACCAGGGATGATGGGAGTTCTACTGGAACAGCATCTGGAGGGACACACTTTCTCCATCTTCCTCCTCCTCTGAAAAAGCTAAATATCTGTATTGTTTCCCCCTTCCTCCGTGATGTGTAACATCTTCTGATACACTCCAAGCAACTGCACACATTCCCTAATCCTGCACCATTTACTTCCTGAGGCGGCTCCATTGTGTCCACCTTCTCAGAACCACCCACCATTTCAGTAGCAGTCCTTCAGTTCCCAGCTATTACTCCCCCTCCCCCTACGGAGGAATTATTCATCTGAATCCCAGGGGCTGGGAGTCCTGAGTGGGGAGACAGTTGTTGGCCCTGCTGGGGGGGGGTTTCTCCTTGGCCTGGTTCCTTGTGAGAAGAGGATGATGGACGAGGTGGGCCCTGATCCTAATCCAGCAGGACTTTTCTCATGTTCCCACAAACTGAAACGAGACCTACAAAGATACAGTCTCCCAGGCAAGAGGAAGGACTTACCTCTCAAAGTCTCTGTATTTTTCTGTCTCAAGGAAGAAGTTGAGCTCAGACTTGCAGATCAGATTCGCTCCTGTGTGGAATGAGTAAAACGGAAGTGCTATTTACGCCACTGGAAACGTATTCCAAAATATTCATCTTTTGAAGAAAGTATAACAAGGCATCCGGTGCCCCTTTAATAATAATTATACTAATATTAATAATTTATTTCTTATACCTTGCCCATCTGATTGGGCCTCCCCAGCCACTGTGGGCAGCTCCCAATAGAGCATTAAAAATACATTAAAACAGCAATCATTAAAAACTTCCCTAAACTGCCTTCAGATGTCTTCTAAATGTCAGATAGTTGTTTATTTCTTTGATATATGATGGGAGGGCTTTCCACAGAGTGGGCACCCCTACCCAGAAGGCCCTCTGTCTGGTTCCCTGTAACTTCACTTCTTGTAGTGAGGGAACCGCCAGAAGGCCCTCAGTGCTGGGCCTCAGAGTCCGGGCTGAATTATGGGGGTGGAGATGCTCCTTTAGGTATACTGGGCCGTTTAGGGCTTTAAAGATCAGCACCAACACTTTGAATTGTGCTCGGAAACATCCTGGGAGCCAATGTAGGTCTTTCAGGTGTTATGTGGTCTCGGTGGCCACTCCCAGTCACCAGTCCAGCTGCTGCATTCTGGATTAGTTGTAGTTTCTGGGTAATCTTTAAAGGCAGCCCTACGTAGAGTGCACGGCAGTAGTCTGAGTGGAAAATAACCAGTTGAGAAAGTCTGCGGGCAGGTAGGGTCTCATCCATCATACCAGATGAAGCTGGTAGAGAGCTGCCCTGGACCCAGAATTGACCTGCGCCTCCCTGGACATCTGTGAGTCCAAAATGACTCCCAGGCTGTGCACCTGGTTCTTCAGGGGCACAGTTACCCCATTCAGGACCAGGGAGTCTTCTATACCTACCCGCCCCCTGTCCCCCCAAAACAGTAGTTCTGTCTTGTCAGGATTCAACCTCAATCTGTTAGCCACAATCTTCCAACTGCCTCCAGGCACTCACACAGGACCTTCACCGCCTATCTGGTTCTGATTTGAAAGAGTGGTAGAGCGTGAGAGAGAGGAAAAAGACTCTGGCTACTTCCTGGGAGGGGCTTCCAGAAGCAAAGAGCCGCTTTGGAGAAGGCCTCCTCCTCCCTCCTCCCTCTTAGGACCTTCCAGCTTTTTCTCTCTTCTCCTCTCCAAGGTGGACCAAGGGTTTGACTTGGTATAAGGCAGCCCACCCATAAAAAAGGCTGATCGCCAAAGAATTGGTGCTTTTGAATTCTGGTGCTGGAGGAGACTCTTGAGAGTCCCATGGACTGCAAGAAGATCAAACCTCTCCATTCTTAAGGAAATCAGCCCTGAGTGCTCACTGGAAGGACAGATCGTGAAGATAAGGCTCCAATACTTTGGCCACCTCATGAGAAGAGAAGACTCCCTGGAAAAGACCCTGATGTTGGGAAAGATGGAGGGCACAAGGAGAAGGGGACGACAGAGGACGAGATGGTTGGACAGTGTTCTCGAAGCTACCAGCATGAGTTTGACCAAACTGTGGGAGGCAGTGGAAGACCGGAGGGCCTGGCGTGCTCTGATCCATGGGTCACAAAGAGTCGGACAAGACTAAAGCTAAACAACAAAAGGCGGCCCACAGCCAGCCATGCAGTAGCTTGCGAGGATCAACGGGGAGAAGATTGAGCTTCCTGAAAGAAGTGGGGAAATCAGTGGGAACCCCCCGCCCTTGATCAGGCATCTCTCTGGTCAACTTGAAAGAGCGGCAGATTCCTGGGCAGGAGGGAGAAACCAAGGCAGACCCACCAGACAGTCCTCCTCCAGTGCCCAAGGATGGAGACATCTCTCCAAAAGGAAGAGTCTCTCTCTCTCTCTCTCTCTGTTCAGCAGGGCTCTCCCCCCTCCAAGGGCTGCTGCTATTCCTCCCTCAGCCCCCCAATTTCCTCTGCCCTCCTTCCTCCATCCCACAGTCTCCCCTACGTCCAGCTCACTCCTTGCCCTCTGCACAGAATCAAATCTCTCCCAGGCGCACCAACCTCTCCATCCAGAGGAGCCTCCCAAGACGGGCAGGGAGGGGGGGTCTTTTATCCCGGCCTATTTCACTTCCTTTAACCCTTTCATGGACACCCTCTCTCCATCAAAGCACCATCAGCCCAAGCAAGGATGGCCAACGACCAGTGATGATGGGAATTCTACTGGAACAACACCTGGAGGGACACACTTTCTCCATCTTCCTCCTCCTCTGAAAACGCTAAATATCTGTATTGTTCCCTCCTTCCTCCATGATGTGTAACATCTTCCTGATACACTCCAACCAACGGCACACATTCCCTAATCCTGCACCATTTACTTCCTGAGGCGGCTCCATTGTGTCCACCTTCTCAGAACCACCCACCATTTCAGTAGCAGTCCTTCAGTTCCCAGCTATTAGTCCCCCTCCCCCTACGGAGGAATTATTCATCTGAATCCAGGGGCTGGGAGTCCTGAGTGGGGAGACAGCTGTTGGCCCTGCTGGGGGGGGGTTCTCCTTGCCTGGTCCTTGTGAGAAGAGGATGATGGACGAGGTGGGCCCTGATCCTAATCCAGCAGGACTTTTCTCATGTTCCCACAAACTGAAACGAGACCTACAAGATACAGTCTCCCAGGCAAGAGGAAGGACTTACCTCTCAAAGTCTCTGTATTTTTCTGTCTCAAGGAAGGAGTTGAGCTCAGACTTGCAGATCAGATTCTCTCCTGTGCGGAATGAGTAAAATGGAAGTGCTATTTACGTCACTGGAAAAGTATTCAAAAATATTCATGTGTTGAAGAAAGTCTAACAAAGTAGCTGATGTCCCATTAAGGGCTAATAAAAGGTTTATGGTCTCAGCATTTGTGGGCTGCAGGCTGAGGATGTGGACTGTGGACCAGGAAGACTCGCAATCTCCATTATCCTGAGAGTCTCTTTGTAGATTTTGCATAATTATTTTGGAATTCCTACCGCAATATCGGCTCATGAAAAGTTACGGATGGAGAAACTTACACGGTTGCTGTAAACTATCACCCCCAACACAAACTCACTCACATACTGTCTGTAAATTTGGCAAGTTCCCAACCCTTTCCTGTAATACTGGCAATTCCAGGCCTGCAGATGCACAGCCCTGAGTGTAGAGCCTCCAGCCACAGGCATTGTCTATCATGGAAATGCCCCAGACTGGGGCGGATTATGGATCTTTGGATGCTGATAGATTGTATCTCCGTTTGTAACCCACTCTGACATTGCCTACAAAAAATAAAAGTAATAGAAATGCTTTCAGGATATACTTACTGATAAACCCTGAAAACCTTTTTGTAGCATCCTTCCCCCATATTCCTGGATTGGTATATATACATCATCAGCAGCACCACCATCGATTAACCATGCAGAGGAAACACTGAAGAATGGGAGCCTGAGAGAGAGGAAAAAGTCTCTTCCACTTCCTGGGCGGGGCTTCCAGAAGCAAAGAGCCGCTTTGGAGAAGGCCTCCTCCTCCCTCCTCCCTCCTAGGACCTTCCACCTTTTTCTCTCTTCTGCTCTCCAAGGTGGACCAACGGTTTGACTTGGTATAATGCAGCCCACAGCCATCAATGCAGTAGCTTGAGAGGATCAGTGGGGAGAGGATTGAGCTTCCATGGGGGGAAAGGTGGGGGAATCAGTGGAAAGAACCCCACCATCAGGGACAACTCTCTCTCTCTCTGGTCGACTTGAAGGAGTGGCAGATTCCTGGGCAGGAGGGAGAAGCCAAGGCAGACCCACCACCGGAGATTCCTCCTCCAGCGCCCAAGGATGGAGACATCTCTCCAAAAGGAAGAGTCTTCCTCCCTCCCTCTCTGCTCGGCTGGCCTCCTATCCCCCAGGGATGCTGCCATTCCTCCCTCAGCCCCCCATCTTCCTCTGCCCTCCTCCCTCCGTCCCACAGTCTCCCCTGCGCCCAGAAACCCCCTTGGCACCGCTCACCCCTCGCCCTCTGCGCCGCATCTCTCCCGGGCGCGCCAACCTCTCCATCCGGAGGGGCCTCCCAAGACGGAGATGGGGGGGAGAGGGGGGGTCTCTATCCAGGCCGATTTCACTTCCTTTAACCCTTTCATGGACTCCGCTCCTGCGCCTTGAGGGATTCCGGCCAGGCGGGGAACGGCAGAGGGCGGGGGGCGTCGTGTTTGGGTCCTGGGTTCAAATCCAACCCTGCTTGGGGACGGGGGTCTTCGTCGGTACCCCCTTGGTGGGCATCACGTTTCAGTTCAGGCAAGAGAGCCCGGGGGGGGTGGAGGGCAGTTCAGCCTCGCTTGAGCCCCCGGGGAAAAGAGACGCGTGTGGAGGGGAGGGCGCTGCAAAGGAGAGGGCAGCTGGATTGCATGGATCGGGGGCATTGAGCCCCTCCTGGACCCCCAGGGAAAAGAAACATGGGGGGGGAGGGGCTCCAAAGGAGATCCTGCCACGCAATCCCTGCAGGTGTTGGGCCCCCCCTTCGCAGCAGGATTGCGGGGATCGGAGCCCCTGCTTATGAGGCCCAGGAGAGGGGCTTTTTTGCGGGCAGGGGGGAAACTAGGCTGGATTTCCCCCGAGTCAAAGACCCGACTGGAGACATTTGCGTCCCCACAAAGACATCCTCAACGGCGCCCTGCTGGAGGCGCCACCTGGTGCAAAAAAACAACCACCACCACCCCGGCTAGCCCACCCCCATAGCTATGGCTCTGTTTCCGGGAGGGGTCTCTGTCTTTCCCTCTTCCCCCTCAATCGCCCCCTTTCCCACGCAGCCTCTTTACCTCTTTGTCCTCTCTGGACCTCCGCCTCCCTTGCTCGCTGTTCCGGTTTCCTTCCCCGCAATAGAAAGCGGAGTGGGGGGGGGGAGGGGAACCAGTCAACCCCCACCCCTCCTCCCCTTCGGGAAACCTCCCCCTTTCCACTTTGCCCCCCCCCCCGGAAACTTCCGACCTAGAGACACTTCGGGTTCCTTGTCGCAGGCGCGCGCCTCTAGAGCTCCGTTCGCAGAGCAGCCCCTGCCTGTGTTGGGATGGAGACAGGAAGAGATGGCGCTGCCTTTGGCCTCCTGCTCTGGGGGCTCCGTCGGGAAATGGCCCCCTCCTCCCCCCAAGTCGCCTCTCGCCCCACAGCGGAGAGTGGAAATGGGGGCGGGAGCGGGGGGCTTCCTATTTGTGTGCGAGATGATGGATGGATGTTTCCCTCCACAGCAGGGTGGCAGCTCCACACTTATTCTTTCCTTATTTACTTTTGTTATTGTATCATTTTAATAGAGTTGAGGGTCTTACGGAGACTCTTCCTGGCTCCTCAAAAAGGCCAGAAGAACAGGAAAGGCATAATCCATGTCTGCTTAAGACTGGGCTAGGTAAGGACTTCCGGAGGCGGCGCGAAACAAGTAATGGCGGTCCTCTTTGCGCTGCGAAGAGGGGCTCCGCAGGAAAGGGTCGTTCGCTGCGGCAAAGCGACGACCCATTAAGATAAACCACGAGCAGAGTGAGCTCGTGGCCGTGGGATCCGGCGGGCACCTAGAGCGACCCCCAAAACGAAGAAGGGTCCCCGTAAGGGGGTCCGGAAGCGCGGAGGGGAAGCGGTGCTGTGGATTCATCGCTCTTTCTGCGGGAGTGAAGCCGCGCGGCTGTTGCTGATGAGCGCCGACCTTTCTTCCTTAAGAATTGGACTTTAAACTATCTACTCGTGAGTAAGAAGAGTATTAATTTTGGGACTGTAAATTGAAAATTTGGCTGAAAGCGGGAGATGAGAAAAAGGAAGTCCGTCTCCCGGTAGCGCTTAGAGATCAAAGGCAAAGGATTTGACAAGCTGGAAGCAATAGAAAGGGACTTTAAAACGGGAAGTATCATGCGTCTGGTGGAGCTAGCAATTGAAGGGAAAGGCAAGCTTTTATTTTTCTATCTGTTATTGTGTTGATTTTATTTGAGGATCCTCTCCTTTACTGGATTTTAAAAACTTTAAAAACCCCAGTCCCGGGCTGGCAGGGGAAAAAGGCTGCCTTGCGGATACATATATAAAGTTGAAATGGATACATAGAGGCATCATTGGTGGATACAATTAAATAACTGTATCTTGCATCTTCAGAAAAACTATTGTGGCAATATTGAAAGGGCTCTGCCAGTGGAAAAAAAGTTTTCTTTAAGGACTATTGTTAATTTACTTAACTGCAGGAACTTTAATGGCGTCTGAAACTTTCTTTCTTCTTTCCTGAGCTGCAATAACACTCCCTCTAGTGGAGTTTGGGATTTACAAATTCCTGAGAACCAACTTTGTTTTGACTCTCTGTGGTTTGGTTATCTACTTTGAGGCCTGTCTTTCTCATGGAAACATTTGACAGTTTGACCTTGAATCCAAAGACAGGTGTGGAATGAGTGGCCCACCAAAAACAAGAGCTGCGTCGAAAGCAGGAAAAGGCCAATTAGTACAAACAACTCTGATTTCTCAGGCTCGCAGATCTTCAGTCCCTGCTGTCTTACAGGGAGCTGTACCCTCAACAACAGCTCCATCTAAGGAAGCGGAACAGCCAACAACTGAGGATATGGCAGCAGGGGGATCTGGCACTCTTTTGGAGGAAATGCTACAACAATTTGCAATTTTGAACAAAAAGGTTGATGACCAAAACTGCAAAAATTGACTTAGCTACATCTTCAATTACTAAACTCTCTGAACAGGTGGCTAAGCATTCACAAGACATTGGGAATTTAAAGGACGCTACATCTGAAAATCGGAAATTGGCCGAGGCTGCGAATGAAAAAGCAGGTCAAGCAATTCAGAAAGTGGATGAATTGAAGGGAGAAGTAAGGCCGCTTCACAAACATATTAGTGACCAGCAGGCCTACCTGTCTATGGTGGAACTGAGAAACAGGGAAAATAATTTGAGATTACGCTCCATTCCAGAGATTGAGAAAGAGGACTTGACAGGTTTTTTGACAGCAGAATTCTCTAAATTCTGGGGTATAGAGGAAGATACAGATTTTAAAATAACAACTGCATTTAGACTGGGAAGAATTGCCAAGAAAGACAGGCCTAGAGATTGTTTGATCATCTTAAGGACCAAGCAAGAGAGAGACAAACTACTTGACCTACATTTCAATAAAGCACTTGAGATCCAGGACAGAAGAGCACAAATCTACAAGGATATTCCTAAACAACTACTGGATCTCAGATCTAACTACACCGACCTAGCTGGACTTTTGAGAAGCAACGGAATACCTTACAGGTGGGAGTTTCCACAAGGTTTATCATTTAACTACAAAGGAAAGAAGATTAAAATCAAAACGAAAGAGGATAGCCAGAAGTTTCTACACGATCACGGAGAAGACCTGCAGAAGGGAACAGCAGTCCCTTGGCCTCCACCTGAGTCTGGGAAAGAGCCAGCACCCTCGGATTTAGACAAGAAAGAAGACACCCCATAAAGAGCAACAACAGATTGATACAGGATGTCTCTACAGCTGTATAGCTGGAATATTAATGGCGCAAACTCCCCGGAAAAACGCAAAAGGATCTTTCACATTTTGAAGAAGGAACATTTGGACATAATTTGTCTGCAAGAAACTCACGTGACCAGGCTTCACAGGAAAGTGTTAGTAAACAAAAGATTAGGCCAAGAATTTATCTCATCAGACAGAGTTAAAAAGAGAGGAGTGGTGATCTATGCAAAAGAGAATTTATCACCAAAATTTTTGTTTAAAGATGAACAAGGAAGAATCCTGGCAATTGAAATACAAAT